AAGAGGGCTGCGAGTGGTATTGGCAGATGCGACTGCCAGACCCAGGCATTGAGCTGCCCCCGACAAGCCCTTCGGAGCCCTCTTTCTCACTGTGCTCGTGAAAAAGGTCACACGCTCCAGATGGTGCAGCTACAGAGTGTGAGGCCTCCATTAGCTTGAGTCACAGGGACCATGTTGAACAGAATCTTAAGTATAGCCCATGAGAGACATGTAGCTGAGTGTGAAAAATAAAAGTTTTTATGTGTTTGTTAAGGCACTGAGATTTTGAAAATGTTTATTACCGCAGCATAACTTTGAGCCAGCTGCTGTAGTATAAATGCGTCCCCCGAAAGTTCATCGCTATATTTGTGGCAATTCATGCTAATGGTATTTGGGAGTGTGGCCTTGGGGAGATACTTGGAATTGGATGAGTCATGAGGCTAGGGCTCTTGTGGTTGTGTCAGCTGCTTCCCGAGAAGAGGAAGAGGGAGTCCGGTTCCTGCTCTAGCTCTGTCTGACCGAGTGATGCCCTCCGCCTTGTTATGTCCTCTGTCACGTTAGGGTACAGTGAGATGATGCCCCACACGCCCAGCAGGTCTAGCGCCATGGCCCTGGACTTCCTGACTCTAGTTCCACGGAGTTTCTACTCTTAGTAAATCACGCATCTTAGGTGTTTTGTGATAGCAACAGAAAGCAGATTAAACCATCATGACATACTTTATAGATTATCCAGTTCAACTCCTTGTTATTCAGATAGAAAAGGCGAATCCAAATAAGTGACTTGTCCGGCTATCACACAATTATCATCTATAAACCAGGAGCTATACTTCTACTTGTGTGAGAAAACCCAAACTAATCCGTGGTCATTTTTTCCATGGAAATAGGAGGGTTGGTGACTTGCACCTATCCTAGGCATTTCCAGGTCAGTTCTTGTCTTCCTAACAAAAGAAAGTCATTTCACATACTCTGACATGCCCCCTCCTAAGGTGACTCACTAAAAATGATTGAATAAGAAGGCTCAGGTGAGAAGAGGTCTGTGCAGATGGTGACACATATACCTGTGTTTTGACACCTAGAAGGGTTTTCTTATATTGCTGAACTTAAAATAGGCAGAATTTTTTTTTTTTTTTTTGGTTTTTCTCCACTACCAGGAACCGAACTCACGACCTTGCGCTTGCCAGGCAGGCGCTTTGCCGCTGAGCTAAATCCCCAGCCCCAAAATAGACAGAATTTGAACAAATGCTTAAAACTGGAGCTGTGGAAGTGAAGGAGTCGGAACTTGTTCCCTGGGGGAGGACAGCAGAGGAAAGAGAAATGGCAGTGCTGAGGTCAGACGCTCCCACCACCATCACGTCTGAGAGCCCACTGCCCCGACTTCCAAACTACCATGTGCTGGTGTGACCGAATCTTTGTCCCCACCCCTCACCTCTGTCCACGCTCAGGTGGAAATGTCAGACACACCAAAATGAGTATGTTGATAACAAAACCCTGTGTTTATCAGCTCCCCGCCTCAGACTGTTCCTCCTCCCTGTACCCTGCTGTTCAGAGAAGGCGTCACAGTCCCCCAGGTCTCCAAGTGGAAGCCTGGTAGTTACCCTCGCCCGCTGCACTTCCCGCAGCCCCCACGTCCAGCGCCGTTTGAGGGTTCGCGGCTCTCTTCAGGCCCTGCGTCGTGTTGAGTTCTCTTTTTCCCTCGCTGGCCTCCCCGCCTGGTGTTCTTGCGGGTTATGTTGGTAAAACACAAACCTCATCACACCAGTTCCCTAATTAGAAAACGTCAACGGCTTTTTTAAGGCCCAGAGTCGGAGTAGGAGCTCCTTAGCACAGCATGTCACCTCTTGGAAAACAGACCACACGCTACTTCTCTAGCTGCAGTTTTGGAAACTCCCTTGTCAGTGTACATCATCTACTCCAATAATGTGTATGGACTTGGTCGCAGATGATTTAAATGCTTCCTATTACAGCCTTTTAAAAATGTTTGATGTTCTGAACTGCACTAATATGGCTGCTATACCCAGAGGCCTCTTTGTCTGACTAGAGATGCTTTCTAATTATCCTTCATGACAGTCCTTAAAAATTCCTTCCTTAAAAAGCATTTCTTCAATATCCCTAGGTAAAGTAAGCCACTCTGTGTATCTCTCCATATGATCATTTTATCACTTAAAATTACACTTTAATTCCTTATCCACATCTCTATTATTACTAGATTCTGGATTTCCCTGGGCCAGGAGTCAAGTGAAATGCACCTTTGCCTCCCCAGGGTCTTGATCAAGGCTTGGTACATAATTGAGTGAAGAGATGACTGAAATATAAACACAGTGGTTCTGCTCATTTTTCCCTATGGCCATAAAATTTGGTGAATTTATTGTATTTTCCAAGTACAAACTATTACTTCCTAGACTAGCAAGATGCCTAAGACATAGCTTCTTCTCCAGTACCATGCCATTTTTATCTCACAGATTCAATTTGAATAAGGGCTTCTTCTAGGGAGCTTGCTGTTTCTTTGATAACACAGCAAATTTGTAAAGTACACTTGGCCTATTTATAAAGTCAACTTTCACTAAACAACCAAAACATGTAGCTATAATTCTCATGTGTGATATATTGACATTTAAAACTAACATATGGCCACAGTCTCAATAAGTTATGTTGCATCTGAACATGCATTGCATACACGGTATATTATTTCTGATCCTTCAAACACCCATGCGAGGCAGGGAAGAATAAGATGACACAAGCCCGATTTGGAATTAGAATATGTGAGTTAAAACATCTGTTCTGGCACTTCCCAGCTGTGTTCCTCTGGACAAATGTTATAACCCTATCTCAACCAACTTCATCATTTGGAGGTACTTTGCTGTTGATGATTGAGTTTATACATTATGAATGTTTTTTAAAAATTATTATGTAAATAGTAAGTGCTTAATAACTTCTGGCTATTATTATTTCTGAAGTAAGAATAAAGATCAAAAACATTAACCAGCTTCCCACAGCTCACACAGTTAGAACCTTGGGTCAGGCAGTATCAGTTCTTCCCCTTGTCACTACAATGCCTCCTCTTGGTACAGGGGCAGACTGGTTCAGAGCACTAAGGCCCCATGCACAGCGTCCAAACACGCGCCTGGTTGGCCTGAAATGATGGTGTCACTTTTACCTGTTGCTGCCTTCATTTTGGCCTATGCAAAGCAAAATGACCCAAATGTTCATTAGACTAGTATTAGCATTCAGAGAATTTCTAGTCAGGGCTCAGTAATCAGAAAGGCAGTGTACGGAAGGGAAAGACCTTGACACTTCATTTTGAACGTCAGGTTCTTTCTCTGCAGAGTGCCGTGAGGGCCAGCAACATACCAGAGCAGTGGAGGGTGCTCTGCTGTGTACACAGCAGCCATGACCATCCGAGAAGCCAGGGGCAGCTCTCTGCAAGTTCAGCACAGGGAGAACAGGTGCTTTCCGTGTACCTGGAGGCCACAGCTCGGGGAGCTACTGCTTAGCCCGTTTATTTATGAAAGGTCTTTATTCCATTTAGTGGCTGGATTGCAGCCTTAGGGCAACTACAGCAATAATTCTCAGTGTTAATTTCCTAGCTCTGCAACAAACTAGTGGAGCACACAGCTTGGGCCACCAGCGGCACAGAGCGATTCTCTCTGCCATCTGAGTGGAGCTCGGCATCAAGAATTCACAGGAGGAAGGACACCACGAGGGGCCAGTCTATGCTGGAGAGATATGCTTTCCTGCCACGGAAGGGAATATGCTGGTGACTGATTGGCGCCCACACTGCCGAGGCAAAGCAGAAATGATTTCTTATTAGTAGTAGTTGTAGCATTAATAATAACAATAGCCACGGAGTAACAAAACAGTCTCTGCCTTTGAAATATAGGAGAGAAGTAATTGGCCCAGAAAGACATTATCAGCTGGAATGTTCCATATTTGCTTGATTTACCATCTTCAGGCAGTTCAAACAGCTTTGCACAATAAACTTAAATGCCTAAAATGTCCTGCTCCTGCACTGAAGCATCTTTTATATACTTGTTTCTGTAGTCTGGAACACTCTCGTCGCAGAAATAAGAAATCAGAATAGAATCAATTTATTTTACTGATATTTGAAGGTAATTTTTCCCTTAATGAATGCATCTGTTTGGATGATAAATTGTCCATTAGACAATGCTCAAGTGTTTTTATGCTCTCTGTTTTGATTACGGAGCTTTTAATGTAGTGTTGCATCCACTCTTTGAATTTTCTCTGCAATTCAGTCATTTGCCAAACAGAATAGACTGGAGAAAATGCCAGGCTGATTTTCTTCCTGAAGTATTTTAACTTATTAAATAAATGAGCTAATAGATTGCATCAAGATGTATTTCTCTGCTTTGTGCTGACCTTGCTGAGAGTTAATCAGCTTCATAACGCTAATGAGATGTCAGCGCTACCATCCTGTGCAGACGCCCGGGCGGAGGCTCCAGCCCGCATCACACCTAACACCCGCCTGGACTCTGCCTTGTGGCCAACACACTCACAGGAATTTCTGGATTCATCCTGCTTTGTGGAGTGATAGTGTGCTATTTGCTTCCTCTAGACTCAGGAGGGAGTGTGTTCAACGTAGTGTGAGCAGAAGACATACACAATGCGGGGAATCAGTCACACGGTCACTGTTTCCGTCATACTGTTAATGGGAATTACACATCTAAATTTCCCCGTAGCAATAGCTCACAGTGGACACTGGGAGGATGTTGAAAATTCACGAGAGAATTCAAATAATGCGCAACGTGGTGACAATAGTTAATAACAATGTAATGCATTCTTGAAAAACGCTGAGTAGATTCATATTCTCACCACAAAAATCTTATATATACGAGATAAAGTATACGTTAAGTAGCTCAGTTTACTCAATCCACAGTGTGTATAAACTTCAAAACATCATCTCATACATGATTCATACATATGATTTTATCTGTCAATTAAAAAATAAAATAGAGAATTCAAATAATTAGTAGTATGGTACTGTAGTTTGGCCAGATTTTAAATTGACTTTGGAAATAAACACAACTTTATCTTACATAAACACTACATATTTCAGCTTCCTGTCAAAATTGGTACGTATTTTACTTCAGTGCGGGCTCTGCTTCCAGTGCTAGGAAACAGTATGTGACAGAGATGTCCATTTCCATTGGATCTTCTTGGAGAACACTGAGTAATGATGTTAAGTTGTTTTGACAAGTAGCTTTGCATTTCCTAAATGTTTATTCCAAAGTATCACTTAGCAACCTTAGCTACTAGAGAAGTAATCTTCATGACACCAAGTTGCATAAACAAAGGCCAAAATAACCCAATATAAAAAAATTTTCCGCTGTATCCTGTGCTGCACATCATTGAAATTCAATATGCTTCTCAAAGAGAAATAAATAAAAGTCATGTGCTTCTATCGCAATTTTCCTTTTCTTAAACCACTGTTTACACACTATATAAAGCTACAGAAATCGTTCCCCTCTCACGGAAAATCTGTTTCACATTGAACTTTAAAATTAAAATAAAATGAACAACAACATTACATGGAAATTTTCAAGTTGAGGAGAGTGTGTCAAGACAGAAGAACCCCTGAAACATCTCCCTGAAGCCATCTGCCACCACACAGGGTCCCTGGGGCAGGCGAGGTCACATTTACAATTTTTTTTTCTGGTATCGGGAACTGAACTTGAGACCTCACGCTTGCCAGGCAGGCGCTGTGCTGCTGAGCTAAACCCCCAGGCCCTGCATTTACAAAATTTTAAGGCTCTCAGGAGCAGAGTTTTAATACCATAGTTTTAAACATTTATAGGTTGGAATATAGTTTTAATAATTCTTTCTCAATAAAAGGTAGAATAACTGGTGAAACTGACCATTTGGATATGTCAATTAGATAATGAGCTCAGTACTTCCTTTATGGCCAAGAGTACTCATTTCCCAGTCAAGGAGATGGTTGTGTGCAGTGACAGTAAAAACTGTTCTCACCCCAACAGGCTAAATACATTTATCAATCGGTTAAATATCTTTGACCCCCCAAGTACTGAGGGTCAAGAGCGTTTGCTTCCTACCATAATCTACACGTACCAGCTGGAGTAATATAGCCGTAACAGCAACTGTCTGTCTGTCCTATAGAAGCAGAGACTTCCTGATTTTCCTACAGCCTGGTACCAAGCGCTGACCCTTGCTGAATGAACAATGAACTTTCGAGGGTTTGGTCTCTAGCTTACACAGATCCCCAAGAATGATCCTGGAGTTTTTGTACTGAATTACCATTGTCTATTTTTTTAGATGATTCTTGGATTGGTATTCAAGAAATATATGACTTTCATTTAATGTTGAAATGTGTGGAAATTCCAGGAGTGGGATTTAATTGGATTAGTTGGAAATAAGGGTCCTCATTTTTATTTTTATGGTTCACAGAAAATAATTCATTCAATCAAGGTGAGTCCCAGCTGATGTATTACAGTTGCAGCAGATGTCTTCAGAATGAGTCCTGGAAGGAAGTCCAAAATAAAAATTCTGTGAAATGAGAAGGCTCTTGTCTCTTTTGTATGCCAGGTATGCTGTTTTTGGTGATACAGTGATGCCCTGTCCTCCCAGAGCTCATAATATTTTTTTAGGTAGATAAAAGAAATACATAGATTATGACTAATAGTACAAGATCATTAAATGTACTCCAATTTAATGATGTAGAAAACAAACTGAAAGAAATTCTAGCAAAATTATACCATTTTATTTGGTACCTGAAGCCTCATCTTTACATTCACATCATAGATACTGAAGAGTTTTTGTAAGTGTGGAAAACATGCTAAAGAGGAAATGGTTTCTGGACTCTTTTCGGCAAAACTTTGAAAAGAAAATGTAGAGCTATTTTGCCCACTTGTAAATTCCTGGCATTTAGTAGTCTCTGGTTCATAGTGCATAGTAGATAGTTTAAAAATATGTGATCAGTGAAAAAATAAATGAATAAACTGCTATTCTGCTAAAAATCTGCTCTGTGTTTTGGCAACCTCCAAGTTGGGAATTAGTAAATTTTAAATGGTAGCCGGGCGCGATGTCACATTTCTGTAATCTAGCACTCAGGAGGCTGATGCAGGAGGATTACCACAAGTTCAAGGTCAGCGTGGGCTCACAGTGAGTTCAAGACCAGCCTGAACTACATAGCAAGACCCTGTATCACAAAAAGTTCAAATGACGCCCACTCTTGATAAACACTGAGACAGTATAGGTAGTGGCCAGTAACTGCCATCTGCAGCCTGGGTGTAAGATACGGAGTGTCTTAAGGGATGTTAAATGGTGAGAGGGTGTTTTAAGAATGTTATTAAAGATGTCTTGAATTCTATTTGGAACTTACACTTTCAGAATGTGGATTAAGATACAGTCTGGTTTAGAAATAGAGAAGGGATAGTGGCTCACAAAACCGTCTATCTCAATTTAGTCTTAACAGAGCTCTTTGGACTAACAGAAACACAGGGATGAACATTTTTCTATGAGAGCACTACCTTAAGGGTGGATGTGTTTCATCTGAGAAGTGGACTTAATCAGGCAGCAGTCTCCAAGAAGTGTGATGGTTGTAAGCGCAGACGCTGGGCCACAACTCACCCAACGAATCGCAATCCATGATAGTGGGTACTGGGGGCCGGCATTTGAATGGACACCTCAGTGGTTCCCACCTGCCCTGTAGGCTGAGAGGCTCTGGTAGAGACCCGTCTCCTGGAGAAGGAAAGCCAGCGAGATGCAGAAAATGCTGTGCTGTGAACTCTAGTCCAGCCCTGGGGCTAAGTGATGAATAAGTTAAAATTGTCCCCATCCTCCAGGAGCTTACAGCGCGGAGGAGAAGACCTGCCCATGAGCTCCTGCATGCATGGGGTGCTCTGCGGAGTACAGTTACTGTAGTGACCAGGAGCTGGGCGTCTTGTCTGTCCTCAGCGCTCAGGAGACAGCGGAGTAGTTTATGTAAACTAAGGCGGAGGAGAAAAAAAGGAGACGGTCAGGCTCGGATATCACGCACAGATCTGTGGAGCGCTCGCCGCAGATATAATTTGCATGGGAATTAGATGAGGGTCAGGGAGTTTAAGATTTTTACCTCTGTAATCAAGCATTCCACAATTTGGCTGAGGAGAAAAAGTACATACATTACTCTCTAATTGTTTTAGACCCCAGAGGATATAATTAATATCAGCATGCACAGTATAGGCAATAAATACTTGAGAACACCAGGAAAATGAAAGATTAAAATAAAGAGTAAAGTGAAAAACTGGGTCTGAGAAACAACATAGATGAGAAGAGATCTGAGATGAATTATAGGGCAGGCAGACCTAGTAGAGCAGGTCTTAGTATTGGGGATAATTTTGGCACCAAGGGGGAAGGATGAGGGAGGAGATTTTGGGTTCCATGCGGCAGAGGCCTTGGGTTGAGCTGTAGTTTTAATTGAATTTAAGAAGCCACAGTGCCCAGATGTAGGTTCCTGAGTAGGAGAAGGACAAAGGCATGTTAACAGATTGCCAGTAAGACGATCCCCCACTCTCCTCAACCCACACCCCCTCTCCACACCCTCTTCTCCTGTGGAGCCAACGCTCTGCACAGCAGCACACGCTCAGGGGTCTCTGACACACAGAGTATGCTCTTAAGTACCTGCAGGTAAAAAAAGAAAAGATAATGCCGAGCTGCGTTTCCTATTGTGTGTGTGTGTGTGTGTGTGTGTGTGTGTGTGTGTGCGTGTGCGTGTGAAGGGGTCACTTTCTAACTCACCTCTTCTGCAACACAAAATACAAACCTATGCCACAAATTAACACCCCCACAGGTTACCTCTTTACTATCAATGCTGATATAAAAAGTTTGAAGTAAAGAGAATGAAGCAAGAGAAATGAGTGCAAAGATTGAGAATATGTAAAGCCTTGAGAACCTGAAATTAAAGAGTGGATAAGACATGGTAAATTTAAATGATATAACTTTAGAGGAAAAGGTGATATTTGTTGAATTGAATTACCTCCCTTGTCTGAGAAGAGAGGTCCCAGCAGCGTGCTCCAGTCCTAGCACGGTCTTAGCATGGCCTTAGTATGGTCTTAGTGTGTGCGATTCTGTCTGCTGAGAACGCTTCCCCACTTGCCCCCTGCTGTCCTTCGCCTGGCCTTCTCCTATTCAGTCTTCACATGTCAGTTTAGCTCTGACTTCCTCAGAGAAACCCTTTGTGACTCCTTGAGGGGCCTCATACCTCTCCTGGGTAGCACTGGCACGGTATCTTCCACAGCACTTCCTGAAACGTGTGCTTTACTCTCAGGTTCTGGACGGAGAGCTCTGTGGAGAGTGGCCAGTCTAATTCTGTCCATCGTTGTGTCTTGGGAGCCGGTGCCCCGTCCGCCATAAGACACACCCATCCCAGGTCGCTGAGTGTGCACACCCAGCCGGTGCAGGTAAAGGTGGCGGCGGCCTCACTGGGAAGTGTGAGGGAGCAGTGACAGGGCATTGCCATAGTTTGTGAGCCAGCCAGTTCGTGCGTCATGATCAAGAGATTCTCTGCAGCTGCCAGACAGCACGGACTTGTGTTGGGTTGGCACTTCTGAAGCCTAACATCATATTTAGGAAAGCTCAGTGGGCAGGATTTTATAGGGCTGTTGATTTCATGACTTAAATCCAGTTCCTAGGGTCTGATAGCTTTAATGGTTCCTCTCCTTATTCTAACTACTAATACTATAACATATGACAGAATTGTTCGCTTTTGTAGTCCACAAGGAAGGGAAAAGAGACCCGGACTGGAGTTTCAGCCATAGGTCAAGTTAGGATATCAGGTCTATTGCCCTGCTAGTGTGGAGCCAGAGGGTTTGTACCCGGGGGGCTTCCCTTCCTTTGTCACGGCTTCTTGTTTCCTGCAGACGTTACCCACGGCTCATCACTCACTGTGGTGCCAGAACCCGATCAGCACCCGAGCTGCGGCTGCCTCTAGCGGATGACGAGTCTCTCAGTGTCCCTAAGAGAGCAGCAGTCGTTCTTCATTCTCAGCGTTCAGACCTGCTCCTCAGGAGCAGCAACACCGGCTGCAGCCTTGAGTAAGCACAGGGCCGGGACAGCCGAGAGACAGGCAGCTCCTAACTCCTCCAGGGCTCTGTGCTTCAGAACCATGTGCATGCAGCCGCCTCCTCACTGCCAGCATTACTGGGAGAAAAGTGGCGTGGGTCAGCTTGTCAAGTCTTAGGTGAGGTTTGGTGCCTGTAGTAGACACAGGGGCGCCATATCAGGGTGGAGATTTGAGTGGGACAAGGGTTCTCTCTCATAGATGGGGTGAGCATTGTGAGGTGGAAATAATTATCTTTCTAGATCCCACAACCAAGACAGGACTCCTCACTAAGTTACCTGTAAACCTGCTGAAGGAAAAACAGACACCCTTCCCCTATGAAGGAGTAATCCCTGCCCCCTCACTCCACTTCCTGTCTTGAATTCACAGCTACCTGAGCAGAGACGAGGTGGAAATGGGTGAAGGTTTGGGGAGGGGATTAGCAAGAGAAAGGGTAACTGATCAATCAAATAGATAATTACTGAGAATAAGTAACATCTGATCATGGATTTTTTTCTTTCCTGATTATTTAATCTGGTGAAAGTGTCTTTCTTAGAGGGGCATTAAAATGTTGTAGCTAGGCATGGTGGTGCATGCCTGAAACCTCAGCACTCAGGAGGCTGAGGCAGGAGGATCACCATGGGTTATGTAAGCGAGTTCAAGGTCAGTCTGCCCTACAAAGAGAGACCCTGTCTCAAAAAGCAAAAAACAAAAATTTTGTGACTAGTTCAGGGGAAGAGTACTAGGAAAGACTGGGCTTTGGGGATCTTTCCACCACTCAATAGAGACGTCCATCTTCTCTGCCTACCCATGGAATACCAGCTGCCGTATGTGTATAATTTGGAAAGACAATAATGGCTGCCTATTGCTTCTACCTGGCCACGTATTGCACTTACTGCATTTACCCATTGCTTAGGGAACATACTCGGTATTCACTTGGACAGTGCCATTGCAGCAAGCCCATTGGCGTGGAAGAATGATCACAGTGCTCAATGATGCCTGACTAATAACCAAGCTCATGGCTCAAGCTCGGAGATTTCATCCACTAGCAGTTACTCTCAACACTAGAGCAGCCTAAGACCTAACGGTCACTTACACGGTGTAATTCTCAGAGCAGTGAACCCAGTAAGGCCACCATGTTGATATAAAATTACCCTTGACAGATTTGCCACTACTGGAGAACAACTGTTTTATTTACCATTACCTGGCAGGAACGTAGCCCAGTGCCTGAGCTAGAGCAAGGAAATGACAAGTACGGGCCAGAGAACAAGACTTCCACTCTCTCCGGTTCTCTTCTTGCCGTCCTCCCGCTCCTTGTCTGTAACTTTGGGTCCTGCTCCTTTCCTAACACCAGTAGTCACCCGGCCAGTAAAAGCCGAGCTGCACAGTTTCAGATCAGTAGATATTCATCTGAAGGAAGTCCAAGGATTGTCTTTACTGACCGAACCATGGCTTGAGTGAGCGCGTATTCTTATGGCTATTGGGACTGGAGCACAGATAACTATGAAATGGGAACAGCAAGGGGTAGACATACTGTGCTTGCAAAATGCAGGGCTGTACCTGCCTTGCACTGGATAACTGGGTAGACCCTGGTGGTCAGAGCACTGTGGGTTTTAAAGTTTCATCTTTTTCATCTTAATCAGATGGTTTTGCTGGTCTAACAATAGGCTATTCATTCATTCATTTGAGTTTTGCAGCCCTTCATATGTTAGGTATGGTCAGACACTGGTATGAAGTGAGTCAGACAGAACTCCTAGCTGAGTTCCTCAGTCCGCCAGAGCCATATAAACAAACGGTTGCAGTACACTAACTGAGCAGTGGCTCGGGGGGACAAGACACATCACAAAGTACAGCCTGTCAGCATTCATGTTTTGGACCCCACGGTTTCCTGGGGCAAACACTGGGCCAAGATCAGTCTCCTTACTTGGTCAGATCCCCGTCTGGGTGGTATGACTGCAGAGTCTTCTAGTTTTACGGTCACAGACATAAGTCTTCAAAGCCTTGTGCGCTGAGGATGCAGACTCATTAATGAACTGCCAACAGCTGGGTCACCCTGTCTTTCTAACCTTAGTTGAAGCATTCCAGGGCTTCTGTTGGATGAGTTTTGAGTTTTGGTGAGTTCCTAAGATTAGACTAACCCCAGAACGGATGGGTGAGGAAGCCACTGAGGGACAAACAAGTCAGTAACAGGAGACACGGAAAAACAAAGAATGTACGCAGTGAAATGAAACACATCGCTAGAAGTCAAAATGGGTCCTTAGCACTGACATTTGAAATATCTGGAGGAACTGGCCGCCCAGCTCTGCTGCAGTTACTCTTGGCTGTTGATTGTCTATTTTTCTCTCTAGACGTCTTTCGAAACCAAATCCAGACTTCAAGGTTGGGCAGAGGCTTGGGCTGAAGTGACAGGAGGCAGGCGCTGTCAAGGAGCGACGCTGTCTCTGGAAGGCAGCAGGGACAGAAGGGAAGGCTGGCTCCCTAGGCAGGTTTCCTTGCTGCCACGCCATGTGTCCCTTCCCTCCCACTCCTGTGGGCACTTCCTTTCTGTCTTGGCGCAGTGAGAATTCAGGAAAGTCACGACAAAAATCCCCTCATGTGCTGGAAGAGGAAGAAAAGTTTTAGATCTTTTGCCTTTTTTCTCCAGTGAAAACTTTCATAGAAGTTGATGTGTAATTCAGTAGGAGCTTTGCTTTATTCAAATAGCTCTCCCATCTCTACAGGTTCCTGTACTCTCTGCTTCTGCCACTTTAACAAACAAACACAAAGAACAAACAATCCTCTCCCCCTCCTCACCCCCCAATCAACTTCGTTGGCAGAGAGCACCAGCCATCCCAGCGCTTTCTCTGAGGACGGAAGATTTATCTTGGACTGACTTCAGACGTTTCCCCTCTGCTCTTCCACTGGCTCCGTTTCCCTCCATGTTTGCTCGCTGCCTCCCTCAGCTCTCATTAATTAACTGCTCCTCACCCTGTGACTAAATGCGAGCCTTTGCGTTTGATTGTAGAGAGCACTATGACATTTTGCAAACACAGGACTGAGGAGAATATCTGGAGTGACACACAGGCGAAGGAGGTAAACTCAGAGAGCTCGTCTTTTAAAACCTGCTGAAGCAAGTAACCAAAAAGGAAAGGAGGGGGACAGGTTGGTTATTTGGTGACATTTGCTTCTTCTGACATGATATTTTAAAAAACACATGCAGACCTGGAACTTGCTATCCGATTGAGGTTCAGGTATTTCAAAGCTTGCTTGTCTCTCAGCCCGTCTGGTGTTTCCATGGTGTTCCTTTTCCGCTTCTATTAGTCTGGAACGTGGGTAGCAAGTTGATGAACATTTTTAATGAGTAAATCCTTTTCTACACCAATTTTATAGATAATTAAATCTGATTTATAGGGCAGGCTCCACCGACAGTAAAAGAGGGAGGGAAGGAATGCGAAGGGGAGGGGGCCAGTTACCTGAGCTCTGAGTGGGACTCCGAGTGTGCTGGCTCTGTGTGTCGCCCGCCCGGCAGGTGCTCTGCAGGGCTCCGGAAGGTTTCTAAGTTTCATAAAACTCATGATGGTTTCGCTACGGGGCTTTTTGTTTTGTTTATTTGGTTTAGTTTTTGGAATAGGACGTTTTCTTCTCCAAGAAACAGAGCGTGACCTTGACTCTTTGCTCTTCCAGTTTTGCTCCATGCTATGCTAAAAGCGAAAACCATGCATTTGAACCTCAGCGTGCACCACTAAGACATTTTTCCTTGCAAAATGATATTTACTAAGCATCTTCCACACAGCAAAATCACTCTAGAAGCTGGAGCTACAGCTCCAGAAGTCAACAACATGGGCTGTTCAGACTTGTTACTTGTGGAGTAGACTCTGTCAGTGAAAGAAAATGGTCTGAGCCTGAAGGTTCAGGTCTCCTAACTCTAGGGAGTCCCTTTTATTTTTCTTCCTCCTGCTCCTCCTCCTCCTCTTCCTTCTTTTATTTTCGCTGGTACTGGGGATCAAGCCCAGAGCCACTCTCCCATGGAACTGTATCCCTTTTTCATTTTTATTTTAAGGCAAGTTTCCACCAAACTGCCTTGGCATGACTTGTGATGCCCCATGTCACTTCAGTCAGTCCTGGGAGTACAGGTGGCTAATTTCTGCTTAAAACGCTTTACTGTTTTCCACTTGTGGAATACATTAGAAAGTAACAAAAACAGCAACATGTCATGATTTTAAGTTCACCCAGCTCCTGGAACATGGTAACATATATTAACTGACTTTGAAACTATGTAAAGTGGGTGCTAAATTACAGTGTTATCTTGGTTCAGGAATGCTTTTGTTTCCAAACAATTTGGTTCATAAACAGAGCACTTGGCAAAATTGTGCTTTTGTTTGGAAACTGCATTGGGTGATAAACACGACTACAACCATCTTTCCCACACAAACACAAACATGGCCGTCTTTTCCAAAGTCATGGAACAAATTAAGCTTGTGAACCCAGGTACCACTGTGAATGCACTGTTATCTGACTGAAATGACTGTCTGAAAGAATACACTCAGCATAAGTTTTTAAAAGCCAAACTATTCCTATCATCAGTCATCACCATCATCATCAGATTTCCAGGAGAAATACATGCATTGGATAACTAACATGAACTTTAAAATACAATTAGTCCTTTGAAATAAGACTACGTGACATACTGAAACCATGTCTTTATGCTTAATTTAGATTATAATCTTGAGAGAGGAGTTTATAGGTCATTGGGCAGATTGCTTGAAATATTCCTTGGAAGTTTTTTCTGATTGTGATAGTAACATAAAATTATACCTATTTACTAAACAAAAAAATTTGTCATATTGAAAATGAAAATTCTATTCTTAAAGAAAACCACTAACAATAGTATGAGGTATAGGCTTCTATTTCTTGTGCCTGAGAATGCAGATACAGCCCTGTTCTGCAGTACCTTAGTTACTTACTGATAAATTTTGACTGTCTTTTTATGTCCATACTTAAAAATAAATCTATTTCTCTAATTTGAACTGCTTTATAGTATTTGTTGTAAGCATGAACAATCATTTAAACAATATATACCCAATCTTTATGTTGGTAAGAGTTACTCCCTGCTAAAATTAATGCTATGGATTCTTAATTCTTATGTATATTTATTAATGAACTATATACAAAACAAGAATTCCTTATTTTGCTCTTACTTTAAACATTAAAGCATATGGATTGATATATATATAATATATATAAATAAATATGGACTGACCGACATATGTACATACATGCATATATTTATTCCCATAGATAGAAGATCTATCTCAACTTGATACTGAAGACTGTCAGAATTATAGTATTGACTGTTCCAAAGAAATCCCCAAATTAGCTACTCATTTTCTTTACAATTATAGCATAAATAAAACCACTTTATTTTCTTTATCATTTGACTGGGCTATGTTTTTCAAAGCCAGGCAAGTGAAGGTGGTAGCTATTAGCAAAACTGATTCATAATATAGTACAAATTAAAAAATAATTCTTCATGAATCAAGGTATTATTACTGTGAATCTCTCAAAGCAATCTCTCTCAGGGAAAAACCTAAGGACCTAGATTCCTTTCTTAGGAGGAGGTTACTAAAACATGGTTTATTGATTTTTAAAGTTCTGCTTCTTTAGAAATATGGGGCTTATTAACAGAAATAATACCAATGCTAAGGGCTAGCAAATGTGTGCCAGTTCTTACCTAGAAGCAGTAAGTCGCATGTCAGTGTGCAGGAGTTGGGTGGGAGCCTTTTGTTCAGCTGCCCTCATCCTTACCATTCTCAGTTCTTCCACTTCCACCCTCAGATTAGCTCATTAAGGGTTAGATTTCTTGTCTTTCCTTGACGAAGGAAGCCTGGGATTAGGACTCATTGGATTTCCCAAAGATCCCTTCTGCTGGCGGTTATTCCATACTGCTACACCAGAGGTTCTGCTGTTTGTTTGCCTTGACTCTGCCTGGAACAATGAGAGTTTCGTGTTTTGCCCTTTTTCTTTGTTGTCGCGGAAGTCTGAACTCCAGCACTGTCTTGCCCCAACTCTGATCTCTTTCAGTTCCACTTTGTTGAGCACAGATTTAAAAATATAAAATAGTTTGCAGGGGACCTGGATACAGTTAGCATAAGATGTTTACTTAAGAGGCGAGTGTGTTCGCTATTGTTACTGTGACACAATGACTGAGAATAATAACTTTAGAGAGAAAAGGCTCATTTGGGCTCACGGTTTTAGAGGTTTCAGCCCGTGGTTTTCTGGCTCTGTTGCTTTGGCCAGAGGGGAGACGGAACATCGTGGTGGTGGGAATGTGTGGAGGAGAAGGCTTCTCACCTCCCGGTGGCCAGTAGTGGGGGTGGGGAGAAAGCAAAAGCAAAAGGACGAGTCCAGGGGCAAGACATACCCTTCCACCCACCCCCACGGCACGTCCCCACTGACCACTTCCTGCCGCTGAGCCTGACTTCCGTTTAGTTAAGAACTCATGCACCCTCGAGATCCAGTCACCTCTCCATGTCCACCTCTGAGCATCGCAGCTTTGGAGATCAAGTCCTCAATACTTGGATCCCTGGGGGACACATCATATGGAAACCGTGGTGGCTGGTCTCCCAACCACAATAGAAGCAAACTGCAGAATTGAGGTGACGTGTTTAGAGTCTTCATGGAAGTAAGAGAACTGGAATTTGTGTTTTGCTATTCTCAGTCTTGTGTCACTTCAGTACACTGGTCAAGGCTCAAATGCTCAGGCTGGTTTGACCACACCTACAGCACTCTGCATTGCCACAACCTGGCTCCCATGTGTGACTTTCAGACCCAACAACTACTGCTACTGCATCAGCTGACCAAGACTTAGTGGTCGTTCTGCACCGGGGAACAAAGTAGTAAGCAACCGTTTTCTGAGGTGCGTATTTAAAGTCAGTGCTGACCCTACAAGTTAAGAACCTCTGATGTTCTGGCTGATGATTCTTTGTCTCTTCGAAGCTCTAATGCTCATGTGAGACTAGCTTCAGCTCAATGATTTTCTTTTTAAATGTCTGCATGAATGCTCAACAACTCTTATTCAGCCTATCAGGAAACAGACTGCTTTTATAGGAGTTGTCTACAGTTAATACCTCTAAGACAGAATCACTTCTTTTCTCTATGTTCAAAAGGTAGAGGTTCAAACTATGGGTTTTAATAGTATGGATTTTATGACCAGGTGAGTTTTGGTCTAAAATTGACTTTTATCAGTTGCTAGCTGTGTGACCTTGGACAATAGGAGGAAATCTCCGTTCACTCATAAGTAAGAAGAGAGCAATGACGCCAATTATGAAATACTGCCAGGAAAAAATGAGGTATCATGTAATTCAGCATGCAGTATGGGTCTAGCAATTTGTGAATCCCCCAATAAATGCTACTTTGCATTATTCCCCACCTACTCTTTTGCAGTTTTATCATTCAAGAAGTCCTCCCCAAGACAGTGAGAGTTGTAAAAGTTTATCAATTTGACTTTCCTTTTTTTTGAGTCAAGAATTTCTTGCTGAAGATGCTACATCATAAATGGACTCTTAAAAGCCACTTGTATCAGTCGTCTGATTGTTGATTCTTTGATGAGAAATATTCTGTTCTATTAGCGAGAAGAAAGATCACCTGAGCATTAATCAAAAGCTTCATCACAAACGGAAGTGTGCGCACAGCACCGGCGGTGCCGGGGAGCCCTGCTCACTGTGTTTGGTGCACTGACTGTGCTCCTAGCCTGCTCACGTGCAGTCGGGCTACTCCATTCATAGGGCACCCTCAAGATGTTCTTACCAATCCATATGTGCTGTTATTTTCAAAGAGTTGATTTGATTTTCTTTTACTTACATTTTCCACCTTCTCCTGGGCAATTAATTTCTTGCTGGTCCTCTGCCTGGAAACAGAAGGAGAAAATGAGTTGCTAGAAGTGCGTTTCTAAATTAGCAATCATCTCAGTGAAGTGCGCACTGAGCCAGTGTGTTTGCTTCTTGGTTATTGCCTGTTTCCTAAAAATATATAGATACAGGCTCTGCTTGGTCATTCCCTGAGCTCGCCAAAGGCTCCCAGAGTTTGCCTTCTGGGGCTCTTACCGTTGTTTTGGGGATGAGGCAACGGATAGGTTTTACACAGAAGTGATAGCGTCTCCCACGGGCAATTCTCTGGCTCCTAAGAAGGTGGTCAAAAATTTTGTCTAAAAAATGAAGTTACAATCCCCTGGTTGAAAGATTTGAAAGGGAAGACCATGCAAAGCTCACTGGTGACAAAAATAAAGGAGGCTTCTCAGGGGGTAAATTCCCTATTGGGGAGGAAACTGTTATTTAGCTATTTGCTAGCATGTCATTATATCGGCATATAGTGGGACAGAGTTTTCCAGGACACAGTGACGCAGCGCTGGAGATCCCGTGTGTGTGCGCATAGGTGTGCATCTGTGTGTGCACACACACTGAATATGGTCCTCTAAACTCTCCACACCCGTCCTCAGAATTCTCCTCCTTGTTTTTGCCTTTTCCCCAAGGCTCACTGTATCCGCCAGTGTGCGTGGAGTAGCTTTAGAGATGCAATACTGTGTCAGGAAATAAGGAAGGATAAGTTGTGAGTCTCCAAGGAGAGCTGTATTGGGTTTATAACCCATTTGGAAATGTAACCACAATTTCATTTCATCCCAGAGACCCCTGTGGAGCAGTAACAGTGGAGAGTGGGATGATTCACCTAATTTCTTTGATGTAAATTTAAAATTTCTCCTGACAGATTATGTTGGAGGACTGGGGCTTGAATGCCTCATCCTGAAGAATCCTGCAGTTGCCCAGAAATGCGGGGCTAGAGAGAACAGATGCTTGGAAACGCCGTTGACATTTCCAAGTTTTTATAGCCCTGGTACATAGCCCACTAACTCCAGCATGCTTCACACATGGAAAGGGATCATTTGTCATTTTGATGCCAAGATGATATTCACAGCTCTAAATGAAATGGATTACTTCTTTCTCCCTCCTGCTTGGACAGTTAAGGTGGAGGTATTTCAGGCATTCATTGGGCACCCTGCGTAGGCATGAATGGCAGACTGGGATTAGAATTTGCTCTGTGGCGGGTGAAACAGGAGTCTCTAAAAATGCTCACAACAGCAAGAGGCACCAGTCTCTGCCGTGCTCAATCAGGGAGGGACGTGTTTGGCAAAAATACCTTCATTCGGAAACACATACATAATAGTCATTAAAGGGCATTTAAAACCGGAAACAACTAACATTCAGAGGAGTGGTACCCACCTATACACACCACTCTTTGTATTTTAACAGCAGTGGTGGAAATTTGGACCATTTTCCAGACAATAGATATTCTCAGTTCGAGTTGTAGACATTCTAGGGCAACTCAGACTATAGCAGGTCTTTCTGCTTTCAGGAAATTATGACTTTGTGGTATTACCCAACCTGTAAGTAAAAGTAAAGGATGCAGTGAGGTCAAGATTGCTCATGTTTTGGCTACTGGATGAAGGACAGTGGCCAGGAACATAATTAGAATCAAGATGTTACTTCTCCGGAAACCTGAAGAACATCGTAAAATCAATCGGTCCCCGGGTAACTCCAGAGTGCCCACTCTGACAACGGCATTCTAGAAGTTGTTCTCTCTGGCCTGTGCACGGAAGTGTTCCAGAAGCTTCACTTCCCTTTTCTGTTGAGTGCACATGGGGTGACCCTCGCAGGGAAAACTGCACATTTTCTTGAAGATTTCTAGTTTTAGTTTGCTTCCGTCTAGGGATGTTATGGGAGCTGCTATGCTTTGGACTTGAAGTTTTGTGGAGCGAGTGTCTCTGGAACACAGGCCACAGGCAGACAGGAAGATCTCTGCTGGGAAGCTGAGATCTGTGTCAGATAAACTCTCGTAGGGAATAAGAACGTTTTGTCACACCAGCGTTCTCAGAAGGAAGCTGCGCAAGATGTTGGCCCCTCCCTTTCCATCTCCTTGGACCACCTGCAGTTCACCTGGTGGCTGTTTGATGGGCTCTTTGCTTTGAACTGGAGAGCCGGGCTGCTTGCGTCTCATTTGGAAATTGGATTCATTGTCAACCCTTGAGCCCAGCCATCCCAGGCAGGTAGGTTTTCAGTGGAAGGTAAGGACTCAGCACCCCCGCTTCTTAGGCTTTCTAGTCTAAGTCTCGCTTTCCTTGTGAAGATGTTGTCTTGCAAACCAGTTCCTGCAAGCAGCACAGACCCTGACACCCCTGCCTGGAACCCTTCTTCCTCTGTTACGATCCTGTCTTGCCACTTGAGTCATTTCGGAGACCTGGACATTCGTGCCTGTGGTCAGCTCCCATTACCTGTTTCCAGATTTCCCTGATGCTGACTCTGCCTGCTGCCAACCCGGCTCCTGATGCTGTGCTTAGCTTTTCTGCCAGCACACCTGTTGCTCGCTGCTGCTCTCCCCTGATGCAGATTTGCCATCTGCCTGGACTTTCTTTGAACTATTTCCTGCTGCCAGGAATGCGTGCTGTCTTCGGTGCCCAAAGCTATGATTACAGCATAGTTTGCAAACAACAAATAAGCCAAATTTTCAAAAACCAATGTATAAACTTAGTTTCTCCTATTTTCTACCAATCCTTGGATAAAATATACGTATTGTTTCTCAGACACGGTAACACTGAGAATGTTTATATGAAAAGTTCGGGATTATGAGATGATTGCCTTGTAAACTTGCTCAGGATCAAATGAACAAATAGAATAGCACCAACTATCCTGAAAGTAAACCAGGCTTACAAGTTCTGGAAAGGCAATGTACATGTTTTTAAATATACATGATTTTAATATGTCTAAGGAAGTTTGTTGATTGACTTTTTAGAGCCAGATGGTGGCTCTCTCTCAACATGCCCAGGGATATTTATTAAATGACAAGGAGCTGTGATTGCTCGGCCTGCAGGGAGCTCTGATCGCTCCTGCTGAGGCAAAGGAGAAAATGGGACGCTTTCCCTGGGCAGATGTCAAGGGGCTGCCGAAGCAGACTCAGAAAGGAAAGAGCACTTCCAGCCAACCTGGGTGTTGACAGAGAGAAGTGAGAAAGAAGCTTAAAGGACCAGGGAGGAGCCGAGCCTGGATGAAGGGCTTGAGAAAACAGCGATTTGATAAGGATTAGGAGGAAGGACAGGAAAGGCAAAACAGAAAAGGAACAAGATTAGGTGGTGACAGCTGAGGGCAGGAGGTTGGGGTGTGGAAAGCGCAGGACCAGAGGCAGCAGATGACACTGGAATGCAGTTTAGGGAGACTGAATACCAGCAGGGATCGGAGCCAAGGAAAACACTTCACGGCTAAGCTGGGAAGTCTCCACGCAGAGCACTAAATGGGGCTCTCCAACGTCAAGAGCATCTAAGTTCAGACAGGACAGGAGGTCTCTGCCCACTCACCTGGGTCTCTGGAAGGGAGGCCTGCAGAGACGCCGGGGACACTTAGAAAAAAGCCAGGCATGGGTCTTCAGAGTGCAAATGGAAGACAGAGAGGGAGAGAGAGCAGGGGGTAGAGAGAGAGAGACACAGAGACAAAGAGGCAGAGAGAGACACAGAGAGACAGAGAGATACAGACAGAGACAGAAACGGAGAGATAGAGAGAGACACAGAGAGACAGAGAGAGGGGGAATGAGCATCACAGAGTTGGACTGACTTAAACTCGTGACAGAGTAAATAAGAAACAGAAGCCATGCCGTTTGCTGACTGTCGTGCAGTGCACCGCCTGGGTTTCAGGAATGCCCACGCTGTAGGACACTTGTGTCTCCTGTATGTCAGCTACACACACAGCAACAGAGCAGAGAAAGGGGTGCAGAATGTGAGCAGCTGCAGAGAATTTGGTTTGAACCCTGGTCCTCACCAGTTACAAGCTATGTGACCTAGAACAAGTTATTTGACCTCTACACACCTCAATGTCTCCATCTGTGAAATAGTATTAATAAAGCATACTGACTTTTGTGAGGATTAAATGAGATAATATTCCTAACAATATTGATCGTTAACATGAAAAAGCAGCTGTCAAGAAGCAAGGGCAAAGTGTGTCCCCTCCTGCACTCTGGATATGTCGGCAGATGGCTGTTAGGACAGCAGCCACGACGAAAGGGAACTGCAGCAGGAAGGACCTGTGCCTGCATTTTGCTCTTTCTTTGGGCCTGGTGTTGTGACAGGCAGTTTTGTGACAGGTTGCAAGAGAATTAATCCTTTTGGGGACCGAGAGTTCTGCCAGTCCTTTCAGCTTGAATTAGCTTGCTTTTCGGACATCCAAACAGCAGACTCAGTCAAGGTCTCCATGCAGTCATCATTTGTTCAACTTGTTGCATGCAACAAATCGTGAAAAAGTTTGAAGTAGACACCGCCTTTGGTACTGCACCCAGCAGACACATTCCACGCGACAGCAAACTAGAATGTTCATGTGCTGAATTCTGCAAAGGTAACTTCACGTCAAGGTTAAGTAAGGTGACAGATGGTGCTGAGAGAGTTGTGAGACTGTAATACACTTGAGGTGCCAAGTGAGGGGCCGACGGGAACCAGGCCTGTTGAGGCCTCAGCCATGGACACATTTCAGAGCTGTGGGTCTCTTTACAAGAGTGTCGTGTATCGTTTAGCGTGCTACCTCACAAAGAACTGTTGAGTGCCAACAACTCAGCACTTTGGACATCTGGTACACCCATGCAGGATGGCTAAACCAGAGCCTGCTAGGGGAGAAAACTACTCTTCAGGTATGGATTAGGGCTTCTGGGGAGGGGTGTTAATTCTTTTAAGTACCTAGTCTATTATCTTGAATATATTTTTTGTCCAAGGTAGTCAAGAGTATCTACGCTCCCCTCAAAATGCGTTGTGATGCTCTCAAGCACGTCTTTTCAAATTACATACTCAGACAATTGAACATATTCCCTTACAGCCAAGAGAAGGTTTATAACGGTGGTTATAAGAAGGAATTCACCAAGAACACCTCAGAGTATGTGTCCTATAGTTGTCTAGCCCGCAGTTTCTCTGCAACACGGAGAAAGCTTCCTTTGGCAGAGTCTAGCTCTTTACTAAGGAGCTTCCAAAGTCCCTTTCTTAGATGACAGCAGACTTCTCGCCCAAGGTCCACTCCGCCTGTAGCTTCTGGGAACGCCATCTGTAGAGTTACTGTTATTTCAAGAATCACACGGTGGCCTCCGCAGATCGGCAAAGCCTGTGCCGTGGGATCTTTTCCGACTGGTGGAGCAGAGCTGGGATTGACCCCATCTGGAACTCTAACTGCTTTCAAATTCTGTGCAAAAAGCTGCATTCTCTTCAGATATCTTCTCATAAGCTGACTGAATAGGTCTTTGTTTCCATTCATGTTTGTCTTGATTACAAGGGAAACTCTCCAATGCCGGACAATGTGACTTGCCCTACACTTTTGTGAGATTTATTTTGAAGCTTTCTGAATACCTTAGTATATCACTTTTCATATTCTGAGTGGGATGGTGTTTACCATTAGAAGTGTAGAGTTTATCGGCATGGATTCTGGTAATAGTACAATTCTTAGATTGGTGCAAGAACTTCCAAACTTTTGTATCACAGTATATATGTATATCTGTCTCTGCAGTGTATCTCTGACTTTCGAACGTTCAAGTTGCTAACCTTCACAGATACTAAAGGACCTCATGTTACAAACATTTGTAGATGTGAGCAAATCTTGGAAGCAGCTCCCCTGTCTGCTGGACACCGTCACAGTGCTGTGTGCTCATGACACAGGGCGAGAGTGTGCAGTACAGTCCTCAGTCAGAAAAAACAGTGGTGATGTGGAGGGGATGGCCAGGAAGCACGAAGCAGCATATATTGTATGTTTGTGCCAAAGGTATGTAATACTTACTTTGTCAGACTTACAGGCAAATCCAACCTATGAACATTCTCCCAGAACGGAACTTGTAAGTCTAGGACTTGTTGAGAATATGCACGAAACATTCGTCTCTAGCTACTTTTGCTGTTCCACTTGAGAAGCTTGTTAAAATGACATAAATAAATAAACACTGGAATGAATGAATGAATGAAAGAAAAATGGGGAAAGTCAGCTTCACCACTGGAAACTATGGAGCATTACCCTGTCATGTACTTCGACTGAGCTAATAGTAATGTAGGCAGAGAGAAATTGAGAGCAGATTGTAGAGGCTGACACACAGCTCTCTTCACAATACAGCAATAAAGAGTTTTGGGAAAGAGCTAAGTTCTAAGAGCCCAACTACAGTAACACCTACTAATGTCGTGGACCCTGGGGCAGATGGGGACATTTTCCTTACAATTTTTTCTTTAAAGGGTGTGTGGGAGGTTGTGAGGTTTATGAACATAGGTGAACCACAAACATGCAATATAGCAGAAAACAGGGGTTTTAGACGAGAATAAGTAACATTTTCCCTGGTTTGGAGGGCAGGACCAGAAGTATTTGGCTATGCATAAAGGGTAAATAGCACAGTGAATGCGGCAGATATGACATGGGCATAAAAACTATGGCAGCTCCACCAAGCATCTGTTAGGGATGGTGGCGTGGACTCCCCAGGGCTCAGATTTTTCTCATGATTTTCCGATGGTTGGATCTTGATATATAGTGCTTCTTCTTGCCTTCAGCGTAAGGCCTGGGTACATGTTTCTAGTTTAAATGACAAAATGGAGATAAGGAGAACATCCATATTTCTGCTCTTAGGGAAATTCAGGGTCAGAAGAATCAAGATTTTACTCGAAGAGAAAAGATAGCAGGGTACAACAATGTCTTTTTTCCACAAATATAAGAAAATTATAGTACTTAAAGCTAGAGAAATTTTATTTAAAACAGGTTTTTGAAATGAAGCAGAAGTTAATGAATAATATTTTCTTTGTACCCCTCATAAAAGTCTAGCAGAGATGGACTATAATATATATTATATATGACATATATAAATATATATAAATATATATAAATATAAATATATAATATATATATAAATATATAAAAATATATAATATATAATACATAAAATATACATGTAGAAGGATAGCTGGAATAATTGTACTGCTGATGTCTGCTGGTTTATTGAAAGGAATAGCTAGTGCTTAGATTTTTTAAACCAGTTTTTTATGCTTATATCTGGTAATCTGAACAACTAATTTGAAGACAGCAATATGCATTATAACAAGCACTGGTGAATTCCTACCGTCTTGTTTGGTGAAGCGCTGTATCATTTCTAATGGTTTTTTTCATTAGCTTTTATTCTCTTTAATGGTTTAATCAATCTTGCATTCTTACATCTGGTAATCTGAGCAACTTTGTTGAAGATAAGAATATGCAATATAACACCGCTGTTAATTCCTATCATTCTGTTTTGAAACTCTGTATCATTTTTATTGTTTTAGTGTTGTTTTGTTTTTGTCTATTTTTTTAATTTTTAATTCCTTTAAAATAAAAAAAGGGAAAGGAGAGATGAAAGGTTCTAGATGAACTAGAACAGAAGTCCGGTACACACGTATGACAAGGCAAAGCGGACACACAATGGTACTGGCACAGACACGTCTAAGTGTGCGTTCGAGGCAAGTTCAGACAGCACTGAAGAAGACCAAGGCAGCTGTGGGCCGTGAGTTGAGATGTCACAAACTCAGAAGGGTGGGGAAGAGTAGTGGGTTTGGAGAACAGCGTAAACAGTTCCAATGCGTAGGTATTTTATGTATGGAAAAGGAGTACATCAGACACACAAGTAAAATATCCAGCGTTTCTCTTATACGAGAAACCCAAAATGTAAATAAAGAACAAAATAAAAGGTAGATAATAGAAAATAGAGAGATAGATCCTTTTGTAAAAGGGGAGGGTACCAAGGCATAGAGGGAGAAAGAATGGGGGAAGGGGGTGAGAAAAGAATGAAGAGCTGGTATATACATGTACCAACACTTCAAGAGGAATATAATTGTTATATACTGCAAACATGTACTAAAAAATAAAAATGGAGAAAATATCAAAGGCTTGGCAAAAATAGAACAAAACAAAAAACAAATAGCAAGTATTGAAATTGTTTAATATCTCATTAACTATCATTTGTTATTTATGACTAAAACCTAATACTTTAAGTGTAATACACAGTAAAAGTGATAAGAAAAAATCCCAAAAATCAAGGCTAAACTACAGGCATTTCTTTAAATATAGAAAGAAATTAGTAGAATCAAATACCTTGCAAAGTACCTAGAAAAATTAACTGGAAGAGAACAATAGCTAGACACATCTTTGGGAAATTTATGAATTTCAAGGATTCAAAAATGATTTTTGTAATCATCCTGTCAGGTACTTAGAAAGTAATAAAAGTCAAGCTGGTCTCTGTAATTTCTCTGATAACTTTAATACAAGAGTAGTGATTGTGATTATGATAAATGATAATTAAAGGCTAACAAATATTTCCTGATCATGTTTAATGCCTGAGATACTGTTCAATATGCTTTTTACATAGTAGGTCATTAAAACCTCATAAGAAAGCTTTGACATGACTACGTATAGTCTCCTTTTACAGAATAATTTTTTCAGTAGACCCAAAGAAAAAAAGAATACTTAAAAATAACGGTAACAACAGCAGAGAGTGCAAGAAATCATGAAAAGTACACAATATAAGACTGTAGTGTAGTTAAGACTACCCATCTTCATTATGACAATAAATAGGATTAAATTAAACATCCCTAATAAAAAACTCACATTGAATAAAAAGATGAAATGGAACAAACACATCAAATAGATCTTATGCTGTGTACGAGTGTGATCGCCTTTATACCCCAAGTAACTCAGAAATGTTTAAAGTAGATAAAACCAAACAAAAACAAAGAAAAAATGCTATTACTAATGTACATTTTAATACTAAAAGCTTTAAATGTAATAGAGCAATTTCATATTGAAAATGATAGCAGTGCCCTAGAGCTGACCATCATTTTGGAGGATAAAAAGACCTCTTTATTTTTGAGAGATTAACAGGCAAAAATCAAGTAAGAATGTAAATAATTTAAGTGGTTTCATACAGAAAATTTAACAGTTCTAACTAATGCTGTATTGTTTCCTGAAGCATAGACAATATATTTTGTCAAGGAGGCAATTAAAATTTTTTTTCAAAGTATATTAGACCATAAAACATTGTAAACAAATGTAAAACAGCAAAAAATGTACAGTGCTTATTATGTGACCACAGTGTGAGAAGCTAATTTTAAATGTACAAAGGACCCCCTTGCTGCAATCATGTAGAATTAAACACCGCAATTTTCCTAAATAATTGCTGAGTTAAAGCAGGAACCAAAACTGCAGTTTCAGTGCTTAGAAAATAGGGGTAGTGAGAACAGCCCATTTGCAAACATGTGGGATCCAGTCAAAGCTGTAATCACAGTCATCCTACCAATTTAAATCCTTTCACTATTAAATAGGAATGGATGAAAACATTTAATCTATATATTTAACTCACGAGGCAAAAAAGAAGAAAACCTATGGAACTAAGGAGAAAGAAATTAATAAAAGAAAAACAGGAACCAGTAAACAAAGATCAGAAGCTGTAGATTTGAAAAATGAATAGTGGGATGGTGGTGAAAAAATATTTATGAAAAGGTCTGCTGTCTTTCGTATCAGGAAATTAGGGCAACAGTTCAGTACACAATTTTAAAAGAATAGAGGTCAAGGAAAGCTATCAAAGACACTGGATGATTTTGGAAATAGAATCCAGGCTTTTAAGCACAATCTAGATTTGAAAATCTATATTAAGTAGATAACTGTTTAGTGAAATATCAATTAACAAATTGAATAATTACATGAAAAATCTCTCCACTTTGAAATTATGAGAATTGTCGAATACTTCCTAAAATAAGCCAAACTTCTTAATAAGCCAATACTTCCTAAAATAAGCCAAACAAAGAAAATAATACAGGAGAATATTGAATGTTTTTATGAGCAAAGTCACAAACTATTTCATTACATGATGTCTTCTTGCATCTTTGACATTATTGTCATTATACCTGGGTTGTTCCCTGAAGCCTCACACGTCCTGAAGCAGGGCTTGTGGAAGCTGATTGCATTACGGGGCATTATAGCTGAGGAGGCAGGGCCTGGCCAGAGGCAGCTCTGTGACCTGGAAAGGTGTGGTGTAGCCCTCCCTCCCTCCTCCCTTCTTCCTTCTGCTTCCAGGCCAGAATGCCATGAGCAGCTCGCCCCAGCCCTGCCCCTTGCTGTGGGCCCTTCCTGATTTAGAGCTCACCAAACACGAACCGCTGCTTCTCTGTGTATGCTGGGTGTTATGTCCCAGCCACGAGAAAGTGACTAAGACATCATCTTAATAAAATATTAAAATTCTCTTCAAAAGTATGAAAAATTCCATATAAAATGTATCAACATATCAAATTCATTAATATATTGAAGTTTATTAGTTCATTATTAAATTGGGCTTATTTTAGAAATTAAAGTTTGGCTCAATAATAGGAAATTTATTAGACTAGCAATGAAATACATGAAATGGGACTGTACTTTGACACATAAATGATAAAAATACATTTGATAACATTCAAATTCTATTTATCATGTAGTTTCTTAGAATATGAATGATACAATGTAAGAGTACTGCTTTGATGTGGTACAGAATATCAGCTGGAGTTAAGGGGAAATTCCAAACCGTGCCTTGTAAGTAAGAAACAAGACAAGGAGGGCTGTTACTGTTACTCAGCGTTCTTCAGGTAGTTCTGGTCAGTGCAATATCCCAAGAAAAAGAATTTACATTAATAAGTGCTACAAAAAATAGACTTACCTATGATAAGAATTTTCTACATGGGAAATCCAGTAAAATCAACTGAAAAATTACTAAAAATAAAATTCAATACAATGGACACATACAAAACAAATGTAGAAAGATAATGTATGAATGATAATGTATAAGAATATTATCACTGATCAGAATGAAATATAAATGGAACACTAGCCATTTTAGAATCAAAACTACATAATTCCTAAAACAAACTTAACAAGAAAGGTACTCCTGAAATTTGTCTCAAAATTCATATGAAAAATAAATGTCTATAGATAGTCATATCTACTTTGAAAAAGAAGCTCAGAGAGAAGAGTTTTGTCTCATCGCATATAGTCATATTATAAATCTGTAGCTACAGAATCTGTTACAAAGAAAATAGACTAATAGAAGTCTAGAGATTTTGGAAGTGCATATATATACAAGGAATATTGATATATAGTAGAGGGAGCCTAAAGTATTACAGAAAAGAGATAGATACTTTAGTAGGTGAGGTTGAGGATAATGTTTTCTATGCAAAGAAAAATATGATGTAATGTGCAGGAAAGGAGTCTAGATGGCTTACAGATCAAAATGTGGAAACCTTAAAGCTCATAGAAAATAACACAGAAGAATATTTTTGTTTTCTAATTGTGGAAAAGTGCAACATTCCAGAATCATGATGTAGAAATTGCTGAAATGGATTATATCACATTAAATATTTTTACTTAATGTTGAACATCATTAAGATTAATATCAACTATACATAAGACTCATGCAAGCAAGCAAGAACTAGATAAGAGTTCCTGTATAAAAATGGTCCAGGGATGTATGCAAAGGCAATTCGTAGAAAAAGAATCACAAAGAGCAAATAAATTTACAAAGAGATAGTTAAAATAATTAGCAATTAGATGGGTGTAAATTAAAGTAACAATGACACGTTCTTGGAGAGGTCTCAGATTGATAAACTGCAGCTGATAATGCTTTATGCTGGTGGAGAAGAGAGTGTAGGATACTCTGGCACTGTTGGTTGTACTATAGAAGACCTTAGTCATTCTGAAGGAAACTGGCAATAGGTAACAAAATCAAATAGTGGTATGCTTTATGACCAGAGTCCACTCCTTACAAAACCACAGTGGAAATGAATGAAAATGTTCCTTCAAGTATTGTGTTGTTGGGAAGTTGGAAGCAATCCAATTTTTCTTCGCTGGAAGAGTAGATCCATAAATGTTGTGAGTGCATGCCACAGAAATCCATACATGGTAGGACAAATAACTAATATATAATCATGTATGCTCAGCAATGTGAATTAATTTAAGAAGTTTTAAGTAGGATGAAAAAAATCCCAAGAAATAGAATTAAATTTATAACCCAGAATAACATTGATATAAATTAACACAAACATACAAATGTACATTTCATAGAAACACAGGCAAATATTCCAAAAATATTTATAACAAATGAAAATTGTTATTTTTGGAGAAAAAAGAAATGGAAATAAGGAACTCAAAAATAAATAAGAGAGGAGCTATGTAAAATAGTATAAGGGAAATATAAATGGAAAAGAAAAGGAAGAAAGGAAAACGGGGAGGGAGGAGTGGTCTAGTTGGGTTGCCATGGCAAAATGCCATAGGGTGAGTGCATTAAACCAAAAATTATTTGCTCGCAGTTTTGGTGGCTAGAAGTTCCAAATCAAGGTGCTGGCATGTTCAGTGTCTGGTATGGCCTCACATTCTGGCTCGTGAAAAGCCTCTTCCTCTGTGTCCTCACATGACCTTTTCAGGTGTACTTGAGTTGAGAGAGAGTGCGTTCTATTAGGGCTTCACTCTTAATGACTTCATTTCAGTTTAATTACGTCTTAGAGTCCTTGTCTCCAAGTAGTCACATCAGAGGTTAGGGCTTTGGATCTGGAATGCTCTCCAAACACCCATGTGTTACAGGCTTATCACCCAGCTTGATACTTCCGGGGGGGTGGCACGCCTTTAAGAGTGGAGACGCAGTGGAAGAGTTTAGGTCGTAGGGGGTATGCCTTCATAAGAGATGGCGGATGCCAGGTTCCTGCCTCTGACTCTTCATCTCTTTGCTATGAGGTGAATAGCTTCTGGGATATGCTCCCACCACGGCAGGCTGCCTCACAACAAGCCGAGAAGCAATGGGACCGACCAACCATGAACTGATACCTCCAAAACTGTGAGCCAAAGTAAGTCTTTCTTTTTAAAAAGTTGATTACTTATGGTTGTTGTTATTATATGACCTTTGAGGGGGCCCAAATCAGTTCAGCTCTGAAGTGCTTATGCTAACTGCCACCTCGCCAGATCATAGTGGAGTGAGGGAATTCTGAACCATCAAGTTGGCTTCTTCAGAGACAATCTTTTTTTAAAAAAAATTTATTTTAAACATAGTAAATGAGAAAAAAAAAAGAGAGAAAGAAGAAAAAAAAGAACAGTAGGAGCATACCAGCATCACAAACATAAATAAACCAAAGCAAGAATGTTTAAAGTGATACAGGGTTTCAAGATAAAATAACACAAACAACTACAGACAGCCCTTTGCACTTTTAGGCCTGAAGTAATAAGGGTTCCTGGCTGTAACAAACCACAGATGATGAACTATTCATTATTGCACAAGGGCAATCATGCAGGTTTTGAGAAAAGATTAACAAACAGCTTTGAAACAGGGCTGGGGATATAGCTCAGCGGCACAAGTGCCTGCCTGGAATAAATGTAAGTGTATTCTGAAACTAGACTAGTAGTGTTTACAAACAGAGCAATAATGGTGCAGGGTAGATAAACTATGAGAAACACTGAAATACCATTCTATATGTTTGTGTTTTTAATTATGGAATGTATGAATACAAACAAGGATGAGATTTCAAGTCAGTAATTTGAGGGATATGCACTCACTTTGAAAATGAATGCATAGCATTTAATTTCACTATGAAATTAAAAATTTATGACATGGCACACTGATGTAAATTTAAAATAGATGAAACAATGAAATCAAAATAAAGAAGTAAATAAATGAAAGGGAAAAATTAAGTAAAAACGAATCTGAACTCTAATTGGGAAAGATATTTGAGCATAAAAAGTAAAGACAAACAACAAAAACGAAGTGTGCTTCATCTAATTATCTAGCAAATAAAAAACCTAAAGTTTTCATGTGTTAAATGACATAAATTTAAAAGGCAAACATCAAGCAAGAAAAGTATATTGACAGTACGTGACTGATAAAGAATGAATTTTTAAAATTCTAGCTTTTTCACAATAATTTAAAACACAACAACCCAATAGAAATATAGATTTTTTTTGTTAAGGGAAATTAAATGTTACCAGTCAACTTGTGAAAATATATTTAACTACACCAGTACTAAAATGAATGTAAATTAAGATGACATGATTCTACTTTAACTGTTAATTTAATGAAAACATGAAATTTATTGCTGCTGGGTTTTTAGAAACATGGAATTCACATATTAAATCTCTTTTGGAAGCAATGAATATATTTATACACATATTTAAACTTTAAAAGACATTTTTGTCTTTGAAAATAATTAGAAAGTATATGGATATCACTTGTGGTACTAGAAAATTAGAAATAATCTAAATATCCTGAATTAGCAATTAGTTGAATAAGGTGGACCATATCATAGGATTACATACTATAAAGGCATCAAATCTTTTCATATGACATCTAATGAAAAGAGGGAAAATTCTTAATTTATTTTTGTTAAACACGAGCCCAAGCAAATACAAAAGGGTATGTATTCTCAGAAAAAGGAACTAATGAATTAAAATACTGGGAATTGTCTCTGATTTATTATCATACAGTTCTATATTTCATCTTTATTTATTTATTCTATTTTGTTCAAATTTATAAAACAAATTAACACCTTTTTTAATAATCAGAAGACAAAAGTTTACTGGTGAAGGAGATGGATCTCTAGCTCTGTTGGCTGTAGAATGATCAGATGCTGGTGATTCAGGGCAGGGTAAGCACACGGTGAGCCCTAAGGAAGTAAGGCTGGTGGGGTTCACACTGTTTCCTATGTGATTGCAAGATATGTCACCAAATAATTTTTTTAAGTTGCAGAGTTGGGCCAAACGCTATATTTTTCACTAAGATAATCATTTCTTTACGCTCATTATTTTATGACAATTTAAAATATCTGAAAGATAATAATGAGAAACACACAACTGAAGCTTTTCTGTAGATTACCAAGGGCTGTGTTAGTGCTGCATTATTCCAGGTGTGTGGGTCACGAAGCACTCCGTGCGAAGGAGCCAGGTCATTCACTGGTGATATGTGACAAGGGAGTGTTTGAATCCCACAACCTGCCACTCTTCCACTTTACAAGACTGGTTTGAACACACAAGGAAGCAAGGGGGTCACCTTCCGGGAGCTAAGTATTCCTTCACTATGAGCCTTCTTCAAGGCTGGTTGCTTGCCCTCAGACCTTGTGGTCTGCCTCCTTTCATTTTAGCAGAGTCCCGCCTACTGTGTACGGGTGACTTTGCATGACAGCGGCTGAACTGAAAAGTGGGGACACAGGCTGTATGGACAGCAAAGTCTAAAGTATCGACGTCTGCCTCAGGACAGAAAGTTTTTTGACCCTTATTCTATAGGAAAAGATTTTAAAAAAAGAAACGAATAAACTTCCAGAAAGTTTTTAAAATTGTTTCAACATCAGTTTGGATTTCATTTTTTGCAGGAACAAACACCTCAGGCATTGGACCTCTCTGGCACATGTCACAGAACTTTTTTAAAAAGCTATTTCCCTAAGAAGCATCTGCACAGTCATGAGCTATCCTCTGTAGATTTGTGCTGACAGAGTAACAGTGAACTGTTCCTTTCCTTGTGGACTTCTGAGTCTACTGGGGCAGGTAGTATATGCCTAACTCTGGGATTCAGGCAGATTCATGGGAATAAAATAGCAGCCAATAAACTTGAGTTTGGGTGTGAAGAGTTCCTGGGTAAAATGGATAAAACACTTGGGGAAAGGGAAATAAGGATGGTAAAACTCCAGGAACAATTTAAGGAGCCATTGGACAGGTCAGGACATCTGGCAATTTCTTATTACCTATAGGCTTATGTCCCACCTACCCTAGCGTAGGAACTGGTCATGGGAAGGAGTTGTGATGGATTTTGCTACTAGAGTAAGAACGCCATTTTGTGTCATGAAGGAAGGAAGCAACATCCTTGACGGGACACAGCAGTAACTAAAGCTAAAATCTCTTAAGTGTGTGAATGATTTCAAACCACATATAAAGACTCGATGTAGGATTCAAAAAAAAGAGGATTATAAAATCATGGATAAATACACTCCAGCATGAGACTGGGAAAGAGCTGGGGGAGGTCACTTTGGGGACAGGGAACAGGAAGGGCAGTTTAGAGGATGCAGGTGAAGTGAGCAGGTGCTTCTATGCAGGTCATCCATGGAGATACTGAGCAGGAGGAGAGACCATGTGTGGTCTGCAGGGAAGGGATGGTAAGAGACAAAAAAAGCCTGGTAAGGTGAGAAAGAGATGGATATGCAGACACTGAGGGGAGGAGAGGTAATAAAGAAGAAATAGAGTGGTATAAATTCATGCAATGGAACATACCTTCCATTTGGGAAGACTTGATTTGCCATGGTTCTAAGGGGACATGATGGATTCTAATACACAGTGCCTTCTTTCAAGGAACTTGAAATCTGGGGTTGGGGGCGGTGGGAAAGAAAACATGTACACATAAAAGTTAACTAGTAGTACAAAGCAGTAAAAGGAATACAATCTACAGAATCATAGCAGGTGGTTTAACCCACGCAGATGTGAACTGTAAAACATATATTTTTTTCATTCCTGAGTTCTTTTATAAAAAATATCTCAGATCAGCAATTCAGTTAAAAAATGATACCTAGGGCAGTAGTTTCTACTAGGGTTATCCTGAGGGTCATATCCAAGTGGCATAGATAATAAAAAGACCATGCATATATTTGCATTTTAAGTGATGTGATTTACATGTTTTTGCATATGCACATGTGCCATGCATATGATTATGTTGACTGTATATTCTGCCCTTACACATAATATTACACTTTAAGTTAGTAGGTGTGGGGGGGCAATTTTTACTTCTTCTTGCCTTGATTCTTTCTCATTAACCCTGTCATTGATTCACCATCTTTCGGGAGGGGCACAAGAAGGGTGCAGAGGAACTGGGCTGCTCCAGTGAGTGCTGACATAAACTTAAGTTGGATCCCAGGTTGGAAAGCCCTGGACTCCCTTGATCATGTTTCTGTGTTCCCACAAAATTATACAGAGCTTTGTGTTCTGTTAGGGAGAGGCCCCGTCAATAATTATTAAAATGTGCTTATTCCTTAAACAATAAATGATTATTCACATCTATCATTTTCCTGTGTCATGCACAAGAGATAGAATTACTGAAAAATGGATTAATAAAAGCAGTCAGTGTTTATTGAAAATGTAGCATATATGTGGTATTACATGAGCTGAGTACTTCACATATAGCCTTTCATTCTATTAAAGAAATTATGAAGTTGACGCGATTATCTCTGTACTAAAAAAACTGAGACTTAGAGAGATTAACTGACCTATCCAAGGTAACAACTAGTCAAAGGTAGAGCAGAAACTCCTTGATTAATCTATTTAATATGTATTCAGTGCCTACGTGCAAGTCAGTGTTGAGGGGCTGTCTGTCCACTTCCAGAGTCATGCTAAGTATTGGACATAATCAGGATAATTATTTTCTGCCTTAAAATTGCTTATCACTTGTGTCTCTTCTAGCAAACAGGCAAACCTTCACCAGGTCACTGAAGCCCCGTGAACCACTTCAGATCATACTAGCTTCGTGACATCTCGTACCCAGCGATCACCCAGTCCTGTCAATTCTACCTTCTAAATGCCCCACTCCTCAAGCCCTCCTCCAAATCTGTACTGCAGCCAAGGGATTTTTGCTTCCATATGAAGAATAGCGATTTTCTCCCTGTGTCCTTGCCTCCAGAGGATGGGAAACTGTGGCCGGAGAAGAACAGGGCAGTGCAATCGGTATCTTCACCTCCCAGGCTTTACACAGGGGACAGAACAGTAGCACCAATGCTTGTCAAAGAAATCCCTGGGGTTATTATGCAGTGCTGAGGACTGAACCTAGGGCTTCATACGTGCTGGTCAAGTGCTGTACCACTGAGCTACACACCCAACACCATTTAAAAAGAAATTCTTAGAATTCTTAGCCAGGCCTGGAAGTACATACTTAATGCTAGCCGTGTGCAAGCTTGAGGCAGGATTATTGCAATTTGGAGCTCAGCCCAAGTAACTTCGTCAGATCCTGTCTCAAAACACAGTTTCAAAGGACAATTAGCTCAGTGGTAAGATGCTTACCTGATGAGCACCACAAAAGGAAAATGTAAAAGAGAATTCTTAAAGGTAAAACTTGGTAAACTAATCTGCCCATAAGACGAACATGAGAAAGTCTTGCTGGACAGAGAAGCATGCACACAGACCTAGACATTCTCAAAGGAGGCTCCGTCTTGTCAAAAATAGACTGCACTGCAAAGAGCCATTGGGTATAAGTCACTGTGTTGCGTAATTTATCATTTCATGTGACGGCAGAGGAAAGACTTGTCATGGTCAAAGTGGGTCCCAGAGAGAGCCTCCAGACTGAGAAAGGACTCCGGGGCTTGGAAACTCCACTGAACCAAATGCAGACACCTGCTGGCTGCGCCTCCTTATCGTTCCTGTCAGTCTGCTTTCTCCACCACTCCCTGGTGTAAAATATCCCAGCCATTGTGAATTCAAGCCATCTCAGCCAACATTTATTATGGACTGATTACGTGTCGAGGGGTTGGAAAATAAATAATACATGAGCACTGGGGATTGAAAATTAATTGGTAACACATAAGCAGAATCTCCACCTCTAAGGGTTCCAATAAACACATCAGTGCTCTCATGTTTATACTGTTCTTTAACAGAAATTGTCTCTTGTAACCTTGCTTTCATAATTACTGTCTCCGCTTTTACTGATGAGGAAACTAAGTCTCAAAATATTGAGGGAATGGCTCAGTATCACACAGCCAAGGAGGGTTAAAATCCAAGATTTTTTTTTTAAATCCAAGATCTCTGATGTTGGATCGTCTCTCTCATATCACGCTGTTAAGGTGTTGGGGCAATTTATTAATTAATTTATTCAATGATTTGTTAATTAAGCAAATACTTACTGAACACTTCTTCTTGTCTGAGCACTAGGGATATGTCAGTGAATAAACCAGATGAAGATCTCTACTCTCAAGGGGCCCATGTTCTTGGCAGAGCCTTAATAAGCTGCAAGTCTCCCTTTGCGTGGGGAGGCTCTGAATGCTGTGCAGAAGCCTCAGGATTCTTTCCCCTTAAGGAGAGCAGCTCACTCTGTGGGGCTCCTGCCTCAGGCCCTCACCAGTGAGCGCGGTGCTTTGGCCCACAAGCTTTGCGATGAACCCTTTTTTAAAAAACTGCAGTCCATTCATTTGGCTGCGCAGACTGGTTCCTGGAAAATTATTTAGAGGACAAGGCTGTTTGCATTTAATTAATTTAAATATAAACACACAATCTTAGGAAAATTAAGTAGACAAAAACATTTTCATGCATCATAGGTATTTTGCAAACATATACAGTGTAACTTGTTAATTACATTTTCCTTCACAAACCATTTATCTTTTCAGTGCCTGGCTTAATAACTTGATGCTTCTCACTTACATTTTAAACTGCTTATGATTCATTTTTCCAGGCTGTTTCCAAAGGGATTGTCATGTCCCAAAATGAAAGGAAATGTTACAGGAATGAGGTAGAATAAAACAGCACAGAGTCTCTAATTTTAGACCCAAGACTATGCGGGATCATTCAAGTAGTCATAGAGCTTATTTTGACAAAATAAAATAATGACCATTTTCTAATCCTTGTCCTTTCTTTAATTTGAAGGAAGCTCATCAGAAGGTCTGTAACAGACATTTCCACACGTTGATAGGCACTCCACACATTTATCAACAGTATCAGCATGCATGCACTCCTAAGACGATTTTGGGTCACGCTCATTGCAGCCTTTGCCTTACTCCCAGGGCTCAGTCTGTGACTAAAATGGGCTCAGTGCTCGTCGTAGCACTCCAGTCCTACTTTCCTTTTCCTCTCCGCTCCTGATTTCCGTGTCTGTTTACACAACGGCAGTAGAATTCAGTGTCATCTAGTCTCCAAGCAGTCCCCACGGGAGGTAGGTGGCTGGAGGAGCAGCCCCAGAGCCGCAGCTGGTTAACGCATTTGCAGGGTATTTTACGGAAGTTTCTTATGAGCCCGTGCTTGCATTGCACAGTGGTTGCATGCACTTTGGGGCATGGATACTTACGCACACGACATCCTGCTCATTTCACTTCCCGGTGTCCCTGACCTCCCCTGGTCCTCCTTCCTCAGATTCCCTTCCCTTTTCTACAGACTATACCTGTTTCTCAACACGGCTTTACATTTTCTTTTTAAATTACTTATATTTTGTGTCTCTCATATCGGAGAAACCATGCAGTATTAAACCTTTTGCGACTGACCCATTGCACTTAACATTAAAGTCTCGAGATCTATCCATCTTCCTACATATGACTCAGGATTAATCTTTGTGGCTGAATATTACTCCACTGTGTATGTAACTTTTCTTGTGTATATTTTCTTTATTTGTCTGTTGATGGGTATGAAGGCTGCTTCTGTGATTTTCTTGTTGTGAGTTGAGCTGCTATAAAAGTGGCATGTGTGCATTGCTACAGGAGGATGGTACCAGCTCATCTGGGAAGAAATCCAGGTGAGGTATAGCTGGGTCAAATGGTTTTCGAGAAAACTCCAAACTGACTTCCAAATGGTTGTATTAGTTTGCATTCCCAACAACAACACGTAAAGGTTCCTTTTCCCAACAATCTAGGCAGCATTCGATGTTTTTTGAGTCCTTGATAATGCCATTCCTACTGGAGGAAGGTGAAATCTCAATGTTTTGATTTGCATTTCTCTAATAGCCAAAGATGATGACATTTTGTCATATATTCATTGTACATTTACATTTCTTCTTCTGAGAAATGTGTATTCATTTCAATTGCCCATTTTTTGACTGGTCTTTTATACTTAGTGCTCTAATTTCTTCTTTGAGCTCTTTATGTATTCTAGATATGGCTCCTCCACCTGAAGAATAGCTGGTAAAAATTTTCCCGGGTTGTCTCTTCAATTTGTTGACTGTCTCCTTTGCTGTGCAGAAGCTTTATAATTTAATACAGATATTCCTCATTTAACAACCTGTTTAATAACAGTCTGGTCTTACAACCGAGGCATGCTGTTCAGAGTTTTGACCTGCCACCAAGATTGATGACCCATTTTTCTTGTACAGTTATGTACATCTGGTTTAGAGAGTCTCAGTGTCTTTTTTATACAGTCCACCTTATTTATACAGTACTATAGTTTTTCCTTTTACTGTACAGTACTGTAGTTTTATGTTGTTATACATTATTATAGTACTTCATATAAGAGCTATGTAAATAAAGCTGAACATGGTGGAACACACCTATAATCCTAGCTCTTGGGAGGCTGAGGCAGGAGGATTGCCTATGTGAGACCCTGTGTCAACTTCTACCCCAAAGTTATGCAAATAAAATCAAAGTTACCAAGATGGAGTTTCCTTTGACCATTTCTTTATTCTGAATATTGTACAGATATTTCTCACTTAAAGACCAGGGTCCATTCCTATGACTAGCTTATTAACTGAATTGGTTGTGAAGTGAGGAACTGTACATAGTATGTACATTACAATCATTAACTTTTTAAAAGATCACTCGGAGTGTGTAACGTGACCACTCTCAGTTTTAAACTTTCCTCTCAGAACTGCTTTCACTGTGTCCCACGGGTTCCGACATGTTGTACAGCCATTACCATCTGATTCTGGGACTATTTCCGTCTCTCCCTTGATTACTTCGGCTGTCCACTGACTGTTTAAACTGTATTGTTTGATCTCCGTGTATTTGCATACTATCTTAGATTTCTTTGGCCCTGATTTCTAATTCCGTGGTGATGGGACCTGATAGTAGTCTGGGTTCATTTCTGTCCTTTTGTGTTTACTCATGCATGCTTAATGGCCTAGTAAGTTCTCTATTTTGGACTAAGTTCTATGTGCTGCTGAGAAAATATGTATTATGTTGTCGTTTTGTGGAACACTCTAGCGATATCTATTAAGTATATTTGTCCAAATATGCGGTCCAACTGATAGCTCTTTGTTAATTCTTTGTTTAGTTGATCAGTCTTTTTGTTAACGGTGGGACATTAAACTCTCACAGTATGATTGTGCTGACAGTTATTGGGTCTTTTATGTGCAGTACTGTTTGTTTTATGAAATTGGGTGTACTGGTGTTTGGTGTGTATATACTTACAATTATCTCTTCCTTTGGTGCCCAGGAAGTAGTAACCTTCTTCATCGCTTCTGATTAGTTTTGTCTTGAGGTCTACTTTGTCTAAAAATAGGGTAGCTACCTCTGCTTGCTTCCAGGCATCTGCTGGGTGGAATATGACTTTTTTCAACCTTTGATCTTTACTTTGTGAGCTTATTTTAGATATGTCTCTTATGTGCAGCATACAGTTGGGTTTTGGTAGAATCTAATTTGCCAATCTGTGTCTTTTCAGTAGGGAGTTGCGGCCACTTACACTGAGGGCTGTTACTGAAAGGCATCGACCGACGCCTGACATTATATTATTTTTGTGTTGCTGAGTCTTTTATTTTTTCTCATTTTTCTGCTCATCCTGCTTGCCGTATTCATCCCATTAGACTCTTTGTTGTTGACCTCTTTGTCTTTGTCTAGGACATCCTTGAGTGTGATTGTTGGTGCTGATTTTGTGGTCATAAATCTCCTTAGGTGATATACTTGCATTTTGTACTTACATATTTTTACTATTTATATTTTGAAGATTTAAAAAAATTTCACTTTTTATTTTAGAATTCATTTTAAACTTAATTAAGATTGTACATATTAATGTGGTGCTATGTTACATTTTAATACATGTACATGTTGCAGAATGTTTAAAATCAAGGTAAACATATTCATCTCTAATATTTATCATTTCTTTGTGATTAAAAACTTTCAAAATCTTTTCTTTCAGCTTTTGAAACATGCAGCACATTGTTATTTATAGCCATGTGACACATATTTGCAGTTTTTAGAATGAACCGAGCTTTTCAGATCTCTGTGCCTTTGCATACGCTGCCTTTTTTGCTTCTATAAAGCTCTTTCCTTTAATCTCCCTAAATGTCTACATTCAGTTTCTGTACACAAATCACGCTTCCAAAAGAAGTATTCCTTTCTCCCTCACGTCGTTTGCTGGCTTCGCTGGGTTTAGGAGAAAAATGACTCATCTCCTTGCCTCTCCTGAACACAGCACAATCGTGCTTTACTAATTACCTTTCTTTGTATTTCTGCCTCTCTCTCCTGCACTGTTCACTCCTTCGGTAGCAGACATGAAGCGTTTATTTCCCCAGCACTACCAGAGCGACAGTCAATTCGAGGAATCCTTACTGGGTGAACAAGCGGTCTCTTTCAGGAGGGAGGACCTGTCCACATGATTAGGCACAACGTAACTCAGGTAATACACCATAGACAAGGCTACAGAATGTTGTTCCTGAAAGAGTGGTGGTTATGTGGGCAGTATTTGTCAGTATTCCTTCATGTTTCTGTCTTCTGATTCTTTACTCTTCCTTTGTCCCCAAATAGATAAAAGATTTTTATCCACATGATATTTGTTATGTGTCAGAAAAACAAGAATTGTGGAGTCTTCAGCTCCTACTGGAAGTTTCTCTTTCAGTAGGGATATTTTCCTGAAACTAGCTGCAGCGGTACCAGCTGGTGATAAATGTCTGGGTCACAGTGTCCAAACACAAGCCATATGCCATGCCTGCAATCCACGTGTGGC